AGAGTTGAAAAATGAATTAAAGTGGACAAATTACATAAGAATAGGAAAGTAACTAAATTTGTAACCAACTATCGAAAGTAATTTTAACATTTTACGAGTACAAAAATGAATACATAGGTGGAATACATAGAGAGTACTATATAGTGTAATAATAGTGAAGTAGAAAGTAGGGAGCTATATAAGATGAGTTTATATTCAAAAGAGGAAGAATCCTTAGGATCTCTGACATGGCGGCTTAATGATGGTGATTGAAGACCATAATTTTGTTGCCAGAAATCAATCTTTTTTTACAGTTACAATTACAGCACATATCAGCCAATAATGAAAGATAGGCATTCAATGTTTTACAGAGTTATTCAAGAGGAAACTCCGATCCTTCGTCAGACTTGTTAGTTGTGATCAACTTCATTCAATTATAAAAGATAGCCATTTAATGTTCCTCACCACTTTAACTTATATTCTCTAGCCTATAATCAACATATTTTCTTAAATATAAGTAAGAGCTTATATACTCCGTAGCACATTAGCGTAAACAACCTGTTTCGTTTCTATGGATCGGACCTTATTAGTAGTATATGTTATATGAAGTATGGGGTATTCACTATGTTGTGTTACAAACTTGTTTGTAATATAATTAATATGTTTATCTCTTGAAACATGTTTCTATTTAATTTAACGTTCGTAATGATAAACATTAGCCGAAACTAATGAAAGTTGCTCACATACTAAATAAAAGAAGCATTTGGCTATCTAAAGTATACATGTAATCTAACTAAAAGGCCACATTCTAGGGTATGAGATAATTTTTTCCCACCTAAATCCAAAATATTACACTTAATTAAATCATGTTACAAGACAAAGAATAATACAAGTAAAACATCAACATGAATTGAAATAAGCAAAATGGGCTCAATTGTTAAGGAAGAATTAAAGAAAGGCTAAAATTAATTGGATACACAAAGCTTGATTTCCTCCAATTAAAAATCGGCAACAAGCAAGTAATTTGGGAAATTGGGGGTCCATTGAATTGAGGATAGGTTAAATCAACTACAACACTATGAAATTGGGGACCATTGTTTAAACGATTATTCACTAATTTACAACTTCAATTTGCATCACTATAATAAGTCAATTGCATCCCCAATGTTGTCCCATCTTTGGGTTTTCTAAAATTTATGCATGTCACATCTTTCATTAATTTCACCAAACTTGAAACCTTCTTAATTTTGTATTGACTTTACTCTTTTTTTTTTAGATTCAATTGACACAAATATACAATCAATGAAGGAATTAATGTTACAAAGCTACTTTTATTACTTCATATATGATAATCAATATAAGTATAATCGATATAAGTATAATCTTACAAGAGCTTGTAATCCATACAAGTATAATCTTACTTATATTATAATTAAAGTTTTTCTTTCTGTAAATAAAAAGCGTATTGTATCATAAATGGGAGAAACAAAAAGTGATAGAAGGAATACATATGCTAATTAACATACTACGTACTAGTTACTTGGATATCTATCTAAAAATTTATCTTTTGTACTTTGTGAGCAAAGAAAGGCAAGATTTTGAGCAATGCAAACAAATTTGGTTCTTAAGGTTACGCGTGAAAGATGTTCACCATGCAAGTATACATCATTCATTCAATTTACTTCACCAAAAACCACTTAAAGTTTGATAACTAGCCACTACAGTACCAGCTGTATTCAATATTGCAATTCATATATTATTATATGGACATTATTTTTGAGAGAGAGCTTTTAATATAGTATCTAAATTTTTTTTTTATTAGAAAAAAAAACAAATTTTATTTAATAAATTCCTATTATAACAATGCATGAAGAAACCACCAAAAATTATGAATTTACCACCATATCTGCAACTTTTACTAAACTAAACAAACATTCAACAACCAAATTTCTATTATACAGCTAAGCCTTCTTCTTTGAGCCAAATTCTAAAAAGGTTTTCATTCAAAAAATTTGATTCCCTGCTGTCAAGATTTGCATATTCTGGGTGTTTCTTTTAATTTTTTTGCCATATGTTACCTCATTTTGGCCACCTTTTCTTTTTTCTTGCTCTACCAATTTTGGGTTTGTTTGGTCAATAATTAGTAAACACTCACTTTATTTTGGTTTTTAGTATTTGGTGCTAACGTTTTTCACGGTTCTTCTTCTTGTATTGTTGTTATATGTACTCGTAATACAATATGTAACGACAATTGGTGATAGAGCGAGTACTACTAATACTAATAGATCGAGATATATATATATACCTTAAATTTTTTGTATTAATATTGAATTAAGTGTGTAAATTATTTTAATGATGACCATTTATATAGAAGAAATAGAAAGCATTAGATGAGACATATCACATAGACATATATATATAAGTAAAATTTAGGAAAATATTAAAATTACTACACTAAAGTAGCATAAATTTAATTTTGAACAGCTTAATGATTTAATGCATTAAAAAAATGGAAGTGGAGAGATAATTTAGGGGGTACTAAATCACGTCCGGTATTTACCGGGTAACGCCCGTATTTTTAAAAATACATACTAATATACCCTCCCTTAAATAACTCATCAAAACCTTTTGTTTTAACTTTTACCTTTCTCTCTCTTCACCCTTTTCACCTACCCTTTCTCTTTCACCCAAAATTCAACCCCATATCAACCACCACCACCGGTTACCACCATAATCAGCCACCAAGTCAAGTTTTTTTTTTTTTTTTTTTTTTTTTTTTTTTTTTTGTAAGAAATTTCAGCGTTGACGGTTCAAGGGTACGCAGATGGCCGGAAATCAGAAAGGAAAAGGGATTGTCTCCGGCGAACAGGTTAGTGGTTTCGTTTTTTTTTTTTATTTATTTTCCGTCAACTCCAAGGAACACCTGGAGATCTGGATTCTCTAGGCTAGAAACGCCCGGAAATTCTGGATCTCCGGCCGTAAGTTCGAAAATCCCTGACGAAACACGAATGCCTGGAATTTTCGAACATACGGCCGGAGATCCTAAAATTCCAGGCGTTCGTAGCCTAGAGATTCTAAATCTCTGGGCGTTTTATTTATTTATTTATTTTTGTAAAACTATTTTTCATATGTGGTTGTTTTTGTTGTTGCTGTTATTATATTGATGTTGTTGTTATTATATTGCTGTTATTATATTGTTGTTGCTGCTATTATATTGATGTTAAACTATTTTTCATATGTGGTTGTTTTTTTATATTATGTTGATTATTTTTAATTGCTTGTTATAAATTGTAGTTGTTATTATTTAATTGTAGTTGTTCTTGTAATAAGTTTTTAGACTTTTGGATGAGCAATATATGTGGTGCATTGTTGTTGCCTTAGTATCATTAGTAGCTAGACAAATTTATGATCAATTATAAATTGCCAAGGTCTTACATTTTTCCAATGGTAATTGTGACTTTCAGCTTGGTAGGTTACTGCTCACGTAAGTGCTTTATTGTATCATAATCGAAAGTGTAAGCCCTAAGGTGAGTGTATTTGATTGTTATACTGAGTATTGGCCACTGGAAAGGAAGATTATTGCTCTCTTCAGCAAGTGGTTTTTCATCGTGCTTTTGAAAAAATCCAAAGCTTGCATACTCCTATTTCCGAGTGCATACAACCCCTTCTTATCACGCATTGAATCATGAATCTGGCAAGCACATGGTATCCCATGGGTGATCCGTAGAGCACAATCGTAACGCTCATGCACCTCATAACTTAACCCTTTCATTCTTTCTATCTCATCGTAAAGAACAGACAAACAATGATGAGAAACCTTTTGATTCAGCCGCTGCAACGGCATGTAGGGGTGTACAAAAATTGGCCCGGACCTGAAACCGGACCTGAACCGGACCGGACCTGACCCGGACCTGTTGATTCAGGTCCGGTCCCGGTTCTTAAAAATCCAGGTTCCCGGTCCCGGTCCGGACCCGGTCCAAACCCGGGGTTTTCATGTCCGGGCCCGAAACCCGGGAAAATCGTAATTAAAAAAAAAAAAAAGAAGAAAATCAAACTCTGAAAAATTGAAACTGTGTTTTCGTGGACTTATTTGTATTTTCGGTGGACTCATTTGTATTTTTGGTGTTTGAGAATCGGGACTTTATAGACTTTATGTAGTTTTGTAATTGATAATTTTGGTTTGTATGTAATTATTAAATTATGCAACAGGTCTAAAAATCACAAAACAGGTCCATATGCAGGTCAACAGGTTTTGTATTAAAAAAAAAAAACGAAAAAGACACAAAACAGGTCCATTCAGGTCCAAACCCGGACCGGACCTGATTTTTCAGGTCTGGCCCGGAACCGGACCTGTTAATTCAGGTCCGGTCCCCGGTCCTCATAATTACCCAATTCAGGTCCCCGGTCCAAACAGGTCCGGTCCAGGTCCGGTCCGGTTTTGGACCGGTGTACACCCCTAACGGCATGTGCCTGTACTTCTCACCTACTTTAGATCTACTAGCCTCTAAAGCGTTACGTATTCCAACAATCTGATTTCCAATTTGGCAATGTACTCGAGCCCATACCGTATCCAAAGAACCAGTTGATGATTCCATCCAACTCTTGACTGCCGAGTGCTGACTCTCAACCCTACATGTACAAACATTACCAAAGTACAGAACTCTGTTCGTCCAACACGTCACAAATTTCTCTTTATGAGGGAGCCAGGTAGTCTCAACGTATTCCACAACTTTCGGATACCGAGCCCAACTTGTTTTCAATCTCTGCAAGGCTAACTCATATTCCGGCTCAGATATAGCATTCATGACTCGATTCCATCTACCATTTTTGAACTTTGCACCCACCGTCTTGTCCTTGAACAATCAAGTCACATAAGCTTCGACGTCCTTATTAATGTGCCACCTACAAAGTAAATGCGTTGTGTGGGGAAACTCAGCTTTCAATGCTGCACAAATTCCAAGCTCACGATCAGTTAAGAACACTAATGGCTCCCGTTGGTATCCGATCAAATCCCTCAATCTCTAAAGCACCCATCGATAACTAGCCTGTGTCTCGTTTCTCATGAAGACATATTCAATAAGAAAATTTTGATTTGTCGGTGTAACCCCAACTATCTCAAAGAATGGCATGCCGTATCTGTTTGTCTTGTATGTAGAGTTCATACCAATCACGTACGAATATGTGCGTAACAAGTTGCACGTGATCGGATGCACCATGAATGCATGTTGTAAAACGCCGATGTCATCAACCATAACCCAGTATATGTATCGACTCTCTCTAGCCAAATGCAGAAATTGTTGAACCACTCCTCTTCCTTCAGACTCCTCCATTCTAATGTCACTTCTACAATTGTAGATATGCCTGATGTTTGGATGATCTTCAGGAAATTGCTCAATAATGGTTGCCATGATATTACAAGGCGCAACCTTTGACCTCGTTAAGTTACGCACAACCTGTTTTGCACCTGCACTAAGACCGCTGATTTGTCGATGACCTTCAGGATACACAATGAATGGATGATTATGGGTGCCGATTACATCATTTTTAGCACGGATCCTCCAACCATCGGTGCTTCTCTCATAATAAATCTTGATGTAGAAAGGACACCCAACGGACTTAGTTTTAGTGTCCTTGCGAATCACATTCTCCAAATCTCTTGGCCTTTTCTTTCGACTGCGATCGCAAGCCAAATATCGATACGGCCGACCATCGGTGATTTTTTTGTACGACGATGAGACGAATAAAAATCCGATTGTTCGCGAAATATCTTTCGCCCATTCAACAGCAGCATCAAAAGTAGGAAACACGGTGTCAGATTGAAAATGGCCACTGTAATTCACACCATCACCGCCATTTTCTGAATCCTATAACCACAAAACAAACTACTTAAGAACCCATGAAATCATATAATAATAATGATATAATAATATTTAAATAACATAATAATAATAAAATCAAAACAGATAGGAAACGCCTAAAAAATTTGAATGTACCACGGAAGAAACGCCTAATATTTTAGAATCTTCCGTGGTACGTTCTAAAATTTCAGGCGTTCCTACCATTGTTCGTCTGATAATTTAGTATGTCCCATGGATGAGACTACATTTCTAAGCGTTTCTTATATGAAGCCAGAGGAACGCCTGAAATTTTAGAATATACCGTGTAACATTCTAAAATACCAGGCGAACACAGGTATGAACGCCTGAAATTTTAGAATGTTCCGAGGTAGATTCTAAAATATCAGGCGTTTCTCTGGCAATTACGAAAATAAAAAAAAAAGGTCTAAAAATTCACCGATTCCGTACGCACAGGTGACCTCTCCGGCGGCGACTGCAATTCCGTAAACTCGTCCATTCACCCCTTGTGCAAATTGTTGTTGACAAAAGTTTTTTCTTAAAAAAAAAATATTTCAAGTCGTGGATGGTGGATGGCGGTGGGTGGTGGTGGCTGTTTGGTGGCCGGTGGGGTGAAAATAAAATAGGGTAAATTTATAAGGGGTAGAAGTAAATTAGGATAATAGTAAATTAGGGTAAAATTAAAAGGGGGCATGTTTGTAAGATCGTGTTAAAATACGGACGTTACCTGATAAATACCGGACGCAATTTAGCAATTCACTAATTTAGTTGAGATTCTGCGCGAAGTGCATGATGAAGATCACTAGCTTTTATTTTTAATTTTAATTCAATAAATTGGGCGTAAGGTCACTAGCTTCTAAACTTACATATGCTTATACAATATTTTAGTACAATTGTATATCTAAGGGAGAGAAAATGGAATCAAAATGATTAGAGGTATGTGGTGACCAAATTATTATGTTATTAACTTCAATTTTTTTTTTAAAAAAAAAAAGATAAAATAAGAACAAAACGAACATTGCTTAGTGGACAATAAATCCAATGAAGATAAGATGAAAATTTATACGTTTCTACAAATCTATAATTATTTGAGTATCTAATGCAATCAAAACTTGACCATTTAAAAACCTGATATATGTTGTCCTAAAAAAACCCTGATATATTCTCTTCATATAATACTATTTTCAACATCAATTTTTGATAATTTAGAGCTCTAATATTCCCTTAAATACTAAATTAGAGCTATATATGAATCTAAATTACCCTAGATGCAAAGCACTTTGTAATACAGAACAAAGGGAGTATATTTCGTACTAATTGGAGGTCTATAGTAGTTGTGTTATTCTTATGATTTCATCACCATCCAATTTTTAATAAGTTTTTTTTTTTTTTAAAAAAAAAAAATTCTAATTATGGACCAATTATATTCATGTATAAGAAAATGAATCATTTATTCGGAACACCCTACACATATCATGGGAAACACATTATGTCAAAGCAAAAACATATATCCATTTCCTACGCAACCCCTATGAACCAACAAGAACTCCAACGATAATAAGTCACAAGTCAATTCATAAAATAACTCCTCCTATTTGGTCCAACAAATAAGGTTAATTGTAATTTTGTGCTTTGTGTCTAGCAAGTATGAAGCCAAAAAAGAGGGGTGAAATATTAATTAGGGGTGGACAAGTTTAAGCATAAAAGTCTTAAACTAAGCATTAGCATTAGCAATAGCAATAGGGGGAGCGCCCTAAGATAGATTTCAATGCTCTTAAAAATATAATAAAATTTATAAAAATATTTAGGAAAAATAAAAAATGAAATCCCTCTTAAATATGGTGCGTTCCAAACTCCAAGCCTCTCTTCAGTTTCCAAAGAGATCTCAAAAGACCAACATACTCCTACCGTCGTATTCTCCAAAAACCCACGAGCATTCTACTATTAAACCCAACGCATTATTTATCATTTTTATATTACTCGTATGTTAAACAAACATAATCCACATATTTCAGATTTCCTGGTCCCCCACCTGCTACCTTCCGTAGGCCCTCAAAACTTAGAGAAAAAGACATCTTTACAATTCTTTTTTAATTATTATACTAGTTGTTGCCTATTGGGTACAAAAGAAAGCTTAAGGTGTTAATCATCTATAGGAACAATGTAACTCTTTACTTTGTCACAATTCAATCTCTATACATGAACTAATCAAATTATCATCTTTACCTTATGTGAATCATATATCAGCCAAATTGTGACCAAATTAATGAAACATTGTCGGATATCTTATTAAAAGTTTGATCCTTTTATGAGGTCTATTATGAAAAGAATCAGTAAGATTACACTCTTAAAAGTTACTCTGTAATAATAAATTTGTGATGTGAACACATTGATTGAGAAAATCCTCACAAGTACAAATGAGATCACATTTATTTCAGTATGAAATTAGTTGAATAATGATCCTTAATAAAATCCTCTTCATAGCTAAGAATTGATTTGTTGTATTAAAATTTTTAATGTCAAATAAAAATCCTCTTATATAGAAAGATGCGGAGTTTCAAATAGGATTATTTCTGTATGAAATCGAATGAAGAATAGATGTACGAAAAGAACCCATAAAGAACGGCCCGGAACAATGAAGAGAGAAACAAGTGGGTTTGCCCCCTTGCCAAGGGAAGCAATGCACCAAATAACCAGGGAGCTAGAAGTTTGGAATGAGAAGGGGGTCTAAAAAGACTTGATAGTTTGCATAGTAGAATGGAGTGTACAAGACAAATTCAAAGAACCCATCATTCCATCTGTCCCTTACAAATAAAAATAACAAAATGGCAGTAATCTAGGACAACTAGGAAGAAACGAAAATCCAAATTTCAATAGAAAAGGATGGAATTGAAATTATAATTTGGGAACAAAGTCAGTTGCTCGAGGAAGGAAAAAGAGGGAAGAACAAGCCAAATTTAGCACTCAAATCAAACATAACATATCCTTTGAAATTCCATTATCACAATTTTCATACATATAGAAGCAATTTAGAAGCATTTTAGATTTAAATATCTCAGTCAATCTTCAGTCAAAGCTTCTTACTAGCCAATTACAACAATCTCATTTCATAGAAAACATAGCCCACCATATTATTAAAATAATTCAAGATTTTTTGTTTTATTGTTAGTATTTAACTTAGAATTTTAATTTTTTTTAAAAGAAAAACAAAAGAAATAGACAGTTCCACAAAAGTAACAAATTGGAAGGAAGCTCATGAAATTTGCATTGTTACTTAAAAAGAGTTTGTCCACTCTCTCATTCATCATCTCTTGCTTCTTTTTATTTGAATTTTATTTATTTATGGTTAAATAAAAATTTGATAAAATTCCCACTTAAAAACAAATTCCTTTCTGCCCATTTAACAATGAATATGGCAGATTACCAATCATCCTTTCCCCTCTAAAGGAAACACCCATCATTGCTCCCAACAATCCTTTTCAACCTTTGAAACCTGAGCTTCTAAGATATTCCAATTCCTCCCTTCTTCAATTCCATTCCAATCCAATTCAATTCAATTCAATTCTTTTTTTTCATTTAATTCTATCAAAAATAAAAAAAATTAAAAAAAAACTTTTCTGTTTCTTCTCAATTTAAATAGCCCCTTCTTTACAACCTTTTTCCTTCCCCTGCTCTCTTCATTCACTCACTTCTCAACTCACAATCAGCAAAATTCTCTCCCTCAAAATCCCTCTTTCGATTTCGGGTTTCGGTGTCTCTCTCCTCCTGTATTGTTAAATTATGGATCCTAGTTCATCTGTAAATGGGTTTTACACCTTCTTAACAAGAGGAATAGATGATCTAGAAAGAGTATTCCTTTCAAATAATTTCATGTCAATCCAATTTCTTCAAAGAACTCTTTCTCTTCTTCGATCATTTCATTCCCAATTAACTCTTCTTGTCCAAAAACTTCATCTTCCTGTTGGAGACAAATGGCTTGAAGAATACATGGATGAAAGCTCCAAGCTTTGGGAGGCTTGTCATGTCTTAAAATCCGGCATCTCAACCATGGAGAATTACTACTCTTCCGGCCTCAACATCGCCTCTTCTCTCGATAACCATCGCCATATCACTCCCCAGCTCTCTCGCCAGGTATTGATTAATAACAATAACATACATGTTTAAATCTCTCTACCCCAATTTGTATTTTAATTTTACGTTCTGATTGGATTGGATTGGATTGGAAAAATAAAATTAAACAGGTGATTCGAGGGCTATCAGGATGCAGAAGAGAAGCGATAGGATTGGAGGAAGAAAACAGAGCATTAGTGGAGACAAGAATCCAAGCACTATCACTAAGAATGGATGAAAAAGTCCTAATCGAATCGAAATTGAATGGATTCAATGGGTTCAGAGGAGTGCTTTACGCGATGAGGAATGTAAGCTCATTGCTACTGATGATCCTGCTTTGTGGACTAGTGTACTGTTGGCCGGAATCAAGCAACTTTCTTAGAGGTGGGTATGATGATTACGAAGGGTGTGTGATATTCGGGTCGGGTTTTATGGTATCGACAACACGGCTGCAGCAGAGGGTGGGAGGGCAGATAAACCAGATGAATGGAGGAGGAAGAGCAGGGGTGTTGTTGTACGAGTTTCGAAGATCAAAGGCGGCCATGGAAGAGTTGAGGGCAGAGTTGGAGAGGAAAGGAGGTGAAAGAGTGGAGTGGGAATCTGAAGTGGGGATAAGAGATAGAGTGGACAATTTGAAAGGCTGTTTTGGAGTGTTGAGATCTGGTGCTGAGAATATTATTAGCCAACTTGATGATTTCTTTGATGAAATTGTTGAAGGTAGGAAGAAACTTTTGGACTTTTGCAGTCACAGTCACAGGTAAATTTTTAATTTTTTTTTTCTTTTGGAAAAAATCTAGGAAACACCCCCCAAAAAAAAAGATGGTATTTGCTGGATTGGATACTATCACAGAGATCAAGCAAATAAATACAGAAAAAAGAGGGAAGAATGAAGATGACACAGAACAAAAAGAAAAGGTTAGGGTAAATTAAGAAGATGGGTTTTGTTGTAATTGTAATTGTAATTGTTGTTGTTGGGTAAAGGCCTTTTTTTCCCACATTTTGCTCAACATGGTTTCCTTAGTGCACTTAGCAACAACAACACTGATGATGAATCAAGGAGGATGTGTTTTTCCCAAAAAGCCCTTGTGTTTTTTTTCAATAATTTATTTAATTTTGTTTTATTTATTAGATGGGAATATTGTTAGAGATTAGGAATGAAGTAGTAGTAGTAGTTTCTTCAGTCTTTTTGTTCAGCAACTAGTATATGATTCCATACTGCTGTAATCAATCATTTTCTGAATGTAGAGGAGTTTCAATGTAATCTATAAAGATCAAAACTTTCACATACAGTTCATTTTTTTTTTTAATTAGATTATTATTCAAGTAAAGGATGAAATAACATAAGAGGGGCACACAGAAATGGTAAGTGGTATTCACTTCATTTACTCAAAAAAGAAAGGGATGGAAGGTTCTTCCAATTTTCTATTATCAAAGTCAAAATACCTTTTTTTTTTTTTTTTTTTTTTTTTGGACTTGTGCTTTCTTTTTCACTAGTACTAAGATCTTATTTTACCCACATATACTTTTTATTTAAAATGTTGAGTCTGAGATTGCCTTACATTACTGTTCCTTCCCAAGGGAACTGAAAGGAGTGCGGTCTAGTTGTGGCAGTAAATGACTAATCATTTCGGTTGAGAAACAATCATGAATTGGAGTGGGTTTCAACAGTAAAAATTAAAAATAAAAAGATTCCTGATTTTTACTGTATTTTTTTTTTACTGTATCATCAAGTATTAACCTGATTCGATTCTATTCTTCTTCACTCATGAAAGCAATGGAAGTGATAATGACACACTCTCTCTCAAATATCTGACTTCCAACCTGACATTGTCTCTTCTGCGCCTGCCTTTCTTTTTTTTTTTTTTTTTTTTTCTCCAGAATTACTCTCAATTTAGAAACAAAGAAAGAAAAAAAAAGTGTGTTTTTTTCTGGGTTTGGTGTTAGTCACACCCAGAATGTTGCCCATTTCCGAGGGTGAATTTTGTGGGAGGCAACATTATAAATTTATAATTATACACCCTTTTAATTAAGAGGCAACCTGACTCAAATCCAACCCGATTGGATGTCATGCCTTTTGTCCCATCCCTATTTTTCATGCTTTGCCTCCTTCATGGGGCTCTCAAGTCTCAAGTTAGTTCCTTTTTTAACTAATAATTTATTACTTAATTTCTGTATTTCCTGCTAATTACAATAGTCTTTAATCAATGATTTACTGTGATTTACTGTTTGATAGAATATAATGTGGGATGTAAACATAGGAATTCAGACATTTTTTGTTTGGTAAGTCAGACATTTATGTAGCAAGCAAGTCTATGTTAAGGGGGGCTAATCGAGCGAATAGATCATGAGCTGAGGAGTGTTCTACTCAACCTGAAAACTTATCACCTGTGCTCAACTTTTGATCGCTAAAGTTTCGAGTCGAGTTAAATATCTCCTTGTTAAGGATTTGATCAATCTAAAATTATAGGCTTTTTATCTTTTTTGTTCGCTTTATATAGTTTTTTTTATTTGTTTATTATTGAAGATATAATATTTCTTTTTTGATAATATAAATTAACTCTAATTAAGTGTCAATTTTTCAAAAACATGGTAACTTTGTTTGTAAATTTTATATATTAATAAAATTTATTATCAAGTTTCTCATGATCTTATCGAGTCGAGTTGGAGCTTGCTTAACTCGTCCTCATTAACATCTCAAGTTGAGCCAAATTCGAGTTAAGCTAAATCAAATCAAACTTTGACCCAAGTCGAGTTCAAGTTGCTCGCGAGATGCTCAATTCAATTAACACCTTATCTATGTTAAGCGTAATGTTGATGGACTTGCCAGTTGCTACTTCCTAGTTTCCTAGTTCCTACAACATTGTATGTAAGAGTTAAGGCTTAAGACTATGAGGTAGGGTAGGTAAAGTACAATACTTAATTTGGATTGTACAACACATCGTGAGGCATGAGCGGATCATATTGAGAGGTTGTAGCCTCACACATAATTATAATACTCGAGGACATGTGAATATACAACTATGTATAAACGGAGAGAGAACGAGATTCTAATTGAATGCCATTTGATCTTTTATGTATGTATTGTCATTCAACGTTTTTGAAAGGTGTTAACTCCATTATTTGGTGATTAATATTGTATAGTGATAATATCATATGAAAAGCAAAGTAAAGGAAAGAGATATCTAATGCACAACAAGAATGAAGAGAGCTAAAGCCCAAAACACAAAAGGATGGCCCAAGTACAAAAATACACAAATAAAACTGAATGCAACATATCAACAATGAGTACCAAAAATATCATGTTTATCTTACTTTGTTAACTTATCTCGTATTAAAATATGTGAAATAGGTAAGTATCTAATAGTAATGATTTTCAACTCAGAAATTAGCTTTAATTAACAAAAATATTTAATTTGCAAAAGATTTTGTTAATCTTCTTATCACATTGTAGGGCTTTCACATGCTAGCAATTTATTTAGTATATTTTGTTAACTTATCTTATGTGATAGATTTTATAGAATGATAATATTGGTCATATATATATATATATATAATACGGAGTATATATTTGTATATATACCCTCTTTAAAGTGTGATCAAAACTATGCATTGAAGCAGTTTCTAAGGTAAGATAATTTTATTTTTAATCATGTACTACGTATATCAATTTCACACTCTAATGTCAATCGTTAATTAAATTGGTTGGTTACATAAATTAAATTATAAAAGATTGAAACGAGCATCAAAATTTCAATTCATGTTAAGCAAGAAGATTTTAACAAAATTGAGTTAACTTTGGTTGTTAATTTGGTGCAAGGTTTGGTTTATGTAAAATTGTAAATTCATTGGATTTGTCGTATGCATATCTCCACTCGTATAGTTACATCCAACTGAAAATTACGGTTAAATTGACACCTAACTTGTTAAATAATTGGTTATTTATATAAATTCACGAACTTGGATTATTGCATATGTATGTCTCCACTTGTATAGTTAAAGCCAACCGAGTCAATAATTACTACTTCCTCCGTCCCTAAATTACATTCCTACTTCTCTCTATTAAGTGAGATATGTAATTTAGGGACGGACATTCGTACGTATGTAATCTTGAGATATTATTGATTTGGCTTTCGTGGTTTATGCAGGCTTTTTAATCAGTAATAATTGATATGGCATTGAGGTATTGGATTATAATTTTCCTTGGTTATTACCTGTTTTATAATCCGGATTGAATGAAGTGAAATTTGTAATGTAATTTCCTGTTTTGATGACTTCAGAATGCTAAGGAGGTTGACAGGATCACTCGGTTGTAATCAACTAATTACACCAAGTTCAGGAGTAGTTAGAACCAAACATCTTTTATCAAAACATCAACAACAAGCAGCCAATCTGAGCATCTTGTCATCGTCTACATCACTAGAGGTGGTGGATGGTAAGACGTGTCTGCCAAACCCGAGAACCCCGTGGTTAAACCTGACTCCGGAACTAGATGAGAAGACCGGGTGTATTGTGGACTCATTCTATAGCCTGGTAGAGAATAAGGTTGTGAGGTTAAAGCGAAGGCAATGTCTTGGTATACCCGACACAGCTAGGTGCATTACATCGGTAGGGGAATGGTTAGCCTTTGAGGATCCTGAAGATGAAAGCTACCCCATCTATTTAGCCAATCCTTATTTCAGTGCCAAGGATATGAATGCCATCCGCCTGCCTTCCTTGAGAAGGGGTCCTGTTGAAATTCTAAATATTCAACACCTTGCCCTCTCGCATTCGGACCCACGCAATGTGAATTGTGTTCTCACCGCTCTTGGTTACTACGGCCTCCATTCAATTCTTGCTTGCTTACGCATCTGGGATGCTCCTAAGGCCGCGAGGTGGGTTGAAGTACAGTATGATTATTTCCCCTATGAACTGTCGCTAGTTTCCTTGAATGCTACTAATTTGTTTTATGTTTTAAATGAGAGTGGGCTTGAGGTGTTTGACTTTGTTGATGGTAAAAGCAATTGGTACATGAATTTTCATATGATGATCTTGTGACTCAACTTCAGGATCATTTTGAACAAGAGAAGAGTCAGGAACTCAGAGATTTGAGAGAGTTTTGTTATAGAGATTTTATCTTGACAACATTTGAGGATAGCGAGTCTAATGATGTCGTGCTCATTGTTAGGCATATTTTGGTACACGATGATAACCCCAAGGGGCATGAACCCCCAATAAAAACTATGCACCTTGACATTTTCAAGGTTCGACTTGCTGAGAAGGAGTTGATACGTTTGATAACATTAGAAGACCGATGTGTGTTTATTGGTCACGATCAGACATTTTCTCTATGTGCTAATAAGTATCCAGGTTTACACCCCAATTCCATCTACTTCATTGATACACGTAGGTTTTATTGGGATGGAGACGTTTGGCATAATGATCGCGGGGTTTTCAATTTGAACAATAACACAATTGAACCTATTTCATGTTAGTACACTCCAGCATACCCTCTTGATAAAGATTTAAGGGAAAGAAATCCCAATTGGAAAAGAGATCAAGTATTTTTTTGGGTAGCCCCCTCCAACCTTCATCATTAAGCAGAAAAAAATCAACATAACAAGCTTGAATTATAATTAGCTTGAATATTTATAGTTTGGTACTTAGGTGCAAAGGGCTTAAGTTTCTTGTAGGTTTACTACAACAATAACATCTTTTTATTTTCTATCAAAAAAAAATCTATTTATTCATATTTTGTTTGGTCCCGCTCTTTTTCTATTTGCCAGCTTATGGAGTTATGTATGCTACTTTTTTTATAAAGTGTTTTGTTTATAATATCTTTAAAATCTTACAGAATATGAATGTAATTATAAAGTACAAGTATATTGTGTATTCAATTAATAGCAATGACCAAAATTACTCTAGATTTTCAAATTTCAACAAAGAACAAATCATTTTTTTTTTGTAAACATCTACTTCAGCAGAATGCAGCATGACATAATTATGGATGCTTTCCCTGTGTGTGTATGTTCACAAAAGGGTGGATGAATGCTAAGAAGCCTAAAATATATCATGAACTATCACAACTAACGAATCATTATAGTAAAGATATTAAGCCGAAAGTTCTTCACATTCAATATCGCATTGTGTATCAATGTTCATCCATGCCAGCAGCTGTGGCGGATTGCTCCAAGGACATTTGATTGGTTGTTTTATCTATCTTCTTACCAGGACCTGAAGAAACTTTTACCATCGCTGGTCTTAAAAGTTGATCACCAAGGAGAAAACCACGTCTGAATTCTTGAATTATAATGCCTTCCTTGAATTCTTCAGACTCTTCTCTGGCAATGGCCTCGTGCAACTACAACAAGAAACAACACAAGTTTAAGTTGCTTAAATTTAACACTAATAGTAATGCGTATCAGAGCCACAAATAAATATATACAAACTTCCACAGAATTACTGTTAATATATACTAATGGTTTAGACATTTGATCATTATCGATCAAGGCAGCAGTAAAATATTGACTTCAGCAGAAACTTGAACAAATCTTCAATAATTTTACATAGCAGGGTAGACACTGGCCTATATGAGTACAGACTACAGAGTTGGTCATTTTTTTTTTCTTTTTTTTTTTTTAAGAAATACGAAGTAGCTTTTATAGTTCAAGAAGTTGTAATAGGTCTGCAAACCACACTGACTGATGTCGCCAAAGCCGAAGGACCTTCTGACAAGGCAACAAGTGAAGGAGCCATTGGAAATTGCTTTCCCAGCATAGAGGATCTAATTTCAACACAACCCTTGTTTCTGCCTCAACTGCCATTGTATAAATCCTTACTAAGCTTCCATCTAGAAGTGGCATGACGATTTGGCAATATATATTATTCTCACAGTAAATCTTAATGCAAGGAGCATTATCTCTTCCATCAAACATGACAATGTGAGCAGGCAAGCAAATGCTGCTAGCCTTGACTGAGTAAGCTCGGTCAATGCAATTGTAAGTGCACTTCAAATTAAAAAAAAAAAAAAAAGGCAAATAGCACGTAGAAAATGAGTGTATTAAGCATAGAAATGGAGGGAAAAACATGCTAAAATCAAGATATTATAAATTTGTAAAGTAAAACCAGGGTCATTCTTAATTGTAACTCTTAAATTCTTTTGTACTGAATGGCTCTATGAAGGATGTCTCAATAGAGGCCCAATCTGCCCAACTCCACTACTCTAATCCCAACTAAAGCTTAGTGGAAAAAGGAAAAAGAAAATGAAAGAACAAAAGTTCTAAATTTGGTTGCAAAGTTACAGCAGTACATAAAGTGTAAACTGACCCTGCCAATTTCACAATCAGAAGTTCACAACCAATAACAAGCATGTTTGGGAAAGGGCTAATGAGCTTTCAGCAAAAACACAATTAACACCATCTTAAACTAGTGAAAAACTGGAACAGTATTAGGTTTTTGCATTTTGCAGGTAAAGTGAATTTAAATCAAATGCTAAAGAAAAATAGTGAATGAGCACAGGCTTAGAAAATATTATAGTTAGTGACCAATGATAAAAAGGCTTACGTTGTAAAAAAAACATAAAAATAAAAAGGCTTACCGATGGATCGAAAGGCTTCCCTACTGTTGCAACGACAGCAACACGCAAACTCCTCATGATCTCTACAAACTGCTTGTAAATACCTTGATAACTCGTATCAATCTGTTTTTCCTTATCTGTTTCTGGTTTGATCTGTTGCTTCGCCCTCTCAAAATTGTCCACCATTGGCAGAAGACTCTCAATAACTTCCCCTTGTGCATTGCTTCGAACTGAAAGTCTCTCCTTCTCCGATCTCCTTCTAAAATTATCAAAATCGGCTTGCAATCGGATAAACTTCTCCTTCCCAGAAGTTATCTCTTCTGTCAATGTTGATAATCTCTCATCCAATTTGATCTTTTCGGTTTCTAGTCTTAATAATACAGTTTCTATTTCTGTAATGGTCTGATAATCCCCAGCTAAAACAGCCTCCTTATAATATTTAGTGAGAGTTTCAACACTTTCCCACATCTTCTTAGCACCTGTCTCCCCCATTTCCCCATCTTCCTCCTCTTGCATTCCTTCATCCATCTACAATATCAATAACAATTTTTAACCATTGAAATACATCCATTTGCTTTTAATTAAATGGAGAGTTTGAATTTCCAATACATATAGTAGCACAACTTATTTATCAACCATTATAAATGTATCAACCATAATTGCAGCTAAATTTTGGCATCATAGACTAAACTTCAATTAAATATAATATGAAACAAAATATTTTAGCAGCTTATGATACTTCATCATAACATATTTGACATACTACTAATATTTTTCAATTTTTGCCATAATTCTTTCAAAAATTGAATTCCACCATAATAATTTTCTATTATCATAGACTAAATTCAATCAATCAATCAACAAAATTTTCCAGCAGCTTATGATATTATACATCAGTAACAAAGAAGAAATAAATCCCATCATAACAGTAACAATTTAAAGATAAAACAACCCAGAAAGTTTGCAACTTTATCAACAAACTATTAATAAAAAAGAGAGAGAGAGGAAGAGAAATAGCTTACAATGTTAGCGAAGCAGCACCTGAAATCATGGCGGTTGTGAAGAAGAAGAGGAGCAGGAGAAGAGAGAGAATTTGAAATAGAAAGATGGTTAAATATGGGAGAAGATTGGATAGGAAAGATTAAGGATTTGTGGGATTTAGAAAAAGGGTACTTTTGGTTAGCACTTGAAATTAAAGAAAGGCTACTTGTGCTTGTGCTTATGATTGATACTGAGAGAGAGACTGCCATTGAAATTAATGGAGATTTACAGTAGAATGAATGTGGGAAGAGAGAGAATTTGATGAAGCCTCTGGAAGGAGGTTCCCGTTCTACTGATTTTGCAAATACACACCCTCCTAAATAACAACGATCAAAAGTTGACCCGACTCAAAATACCGACTCAAATCCGATTATTAACCTACCCATTTGAACTTAAAAAAATGGTGACCCAAACCCGACCTAAAACCAACCCTAGACCCGAGTTGGCCCGAGTATATGAGACCCGAACCCGAACATGAACTAACTTAGAGATGACCCGATCCAAACGTAACCCGTAAATTATTGACCTGAACCGAACCCGATTTGAACCAAAATAAACCCAAACCCGTTTTAACCCGTCAAAACCCGAATTTAACCCAACCTTTTACTAACCTGACCTGAATTCAACCCGACCTGTTCTAACCCAACCCGAATTTAACCCAACCCGTTACAAACTCGACCCGAAATCAACCCGACTTGTTATTGACCTGACCTAAATTCAACCCAAATTGTTATTGACCCGACTTGAATTTTACAAGACCTATTTTTAACCCGACCCAAAAATTCAACCCGATCTGTTACTAACCCGACTTGAAATCAACAACGACTTGTTATTGACCCGACCTAAATTCAACCCAAATTGTTATTGACCCGATTTCAAATCACCTTAAATGCAATTTAGACCACATTATTATTGTTGATCAAAATATTTTGTCTAGGGATACCAAGTTAGTTCAGGCTAGTAAAAGAAAGGAGCATCATCCTCAAATTCAAGAGTTAAATATAGTATATATTTGTTGTATATGGTCAAAGGAGATAATTATCTTCCTAAATTATAAACTATAGTTCTCTAGTATGTTGCCATATATATTATAATCAAAGGAAATAATTAGCTTGATAAAATGATAATATATGGTTACAATAAAATGATAAAATAATGGTCATATATGGTTACAAACGGCGTTATATGACCCTAACATGTATCCCCTAAGGTCTTAACACTTTTCGCCACCGGCCCTAATAACCTCACAAATTTCTCAAAAAGCGTGGATGATAGCCTTCAATTTTTGAATTTTTAGACTTTTTTCGCCCGGAATAAAAAAATGCTGAGATGTTTACCATGGTCCCTAATACCCTCCAGGAGTCCAATTAGGTGAGTGGAACAATCCAATTTGCCTTAAAACAGTCAATTTACCAATACGCAACTTGAACCGATTTTGTGAACTCAAACCTACCACGGACATTTAAGACATCATATAATGGTCATATATGGTTCCAAACGACATTATATGACCCTAACATGTATTCCCTAGAATCTCAACGCTTTTCGCCACCAGGCCCCATAACCTCAAAAATATCTCAAAAAGCGTGGATAATAATAGCCTTAAATTTTGGAATTTTTTGTCTTTTTTTCGCACAGAAATAAAAATTGCCGAGATGTTTACTATGGTCCCTAATATCCTCCGGGAGTGCAATTGAGTGGGTGGAACCTTCCAATTTGCCTTAAAACGATCAATTTACCAATTCGCAACTCCCACTGATTTTGTGAACTCAAGCCTATCATGGACATTTATGACATCATTTAATGGTCATATATGGTTCCAAACGGCATTTATATGACCCTAAGATGTATCACCTAGGGTTTCAACACATTTCGCCACCGGCCCTAATAACCTAAAAAATTCCTCAAAAAGCGTGGATAATAACTTTCAATTGTGGATTTTTTTTATTTTTTTAGCCCGGAAATAAAAATCGCTGAGATGTTTACCATTGTCCCTAATACCCTCCGGGAGTCCAATTAGGTGGGTGGAACAATCCAATTTGCCTTAAAACAGTCAATTTACCAATTCGCAACTTGCAATGATTTTGCGAACTCAATCCTACCATGGACATTTATGACATCATTTAATGTTCATATATGGTTCGAAAAGACATTATATGACCCTATTATATATTCCCTAGAGTCTCAACACTTTTCGCCACCGGGCCTCGTAACCTCAAAAAATCCTCAAAAGCGTGGATAATAGCCTTCAATTTTGGAATTTTTTGACTTTTTTTTCGCCCGGAAATAAAAATTGTCGAGATGTTTATTATGGTCCCTAATATCTTCCGGGATTCCAATTGAGTGGGTGGAACCATCCAATTTGCCTTAAAACGATCAATTTACCCATTCGCAATTCTCACCAATTTTGTGAACTCAAGCCTACCACGGACATTTAAGACATCATATAATGGTCATATATGGTTCAAAACGACATTATATGACCCTAAGATGTATTCCCTAGGGTCTTAACACTTTTCGCAACCGGGCCCCTTAACCTAAAAAATTCCTCAAAAATTGTGGATAATAGCCTTCAATTTTGGAATTTTTTGACTTTTTTCGCCCGGAAATAAAAATTGCCGAGATATTTACCAGGCCACTAATACCCTCCGAGAGTCCAACTAGGTGGGTGGAACCATCCAATTTGCCTTAAAACGATCAATTTACCAATCCGCAACTTACACCGATTTTGTGAACTCAAGCCTACCACAGACGTTTATGACATCATTAAATGGTCATATATGGTTCCAAACGGCGTTATATGACCCTAAGATGTATCCCTTAGGGTCTTAACACATTTCGCCACCGGCCACAATAACCTCAAAAATTCCTCAAAAAGCGTGGATAATAGCCTTCAATTTTGGAATTTTTTTACTTTTTTCGCTCGGAATAAAAAATTGCTGAGATATTTACCACGGTCCCAAATATCCTCCGGGGATCAATTAGGTGGGTGGAACAATCCAATTTGCCTTAAAACAGTCAATTTACCAATTCGCAACTTGCACCGATATTGTGAACTCAAGCCTACCATGGACATTTATGACATCATTTAATGGTCATATATGTTTCCAAACGACATTATATGACCCTACGAAGTATTCCCTAGAGTCTCAACATTTTTCGCCACCGGGCCCCGTAACCTCAAAAATTCAACTAAAAGCGTGGATAATAGCCTTCAATTTTTTAATTTTATGACTTTTTTTTGCCGGGAAATAAAAATTGCCGAGATTTTTACTATGGTTCCAAACGGTGTTATATGACCCTAAGATGTATCCCCTAGGTTCTTAACACTTTTCGCCACTAGCCCCAATAACCTCAAAATTCCTCAAAAAGCGTGGATAATAGCCTTTAATTTTGGAATTTTTTGACTTTTTTCGCCCGGACTAAAAAATTGTTGAGATGTTTACCATGGTCCCTAATACCCTCCGGGTGTCCAATTAGGTGAATGGAACCATCCAATTTGCCTTAAAACGGTCAATTTACCAATTCACAACTCTCACCGATTTTGTGAACTCAAGCCTACCTTGGACATCTAAGACATCATATAATGGTCATATATAGTTCCAAACTACATTATATGACCCTAAGATGTATCCCCTAGGGACTTAATACTTTTCGCCACCGGGCCCTTTAACTTAAAAAATTTCTCAAAAAACGTGGATAATAGCTTTTAATTTTGGAATTTTTTGACTTTTTTTCGCCCGGAAATAAAAAATTGCCGAGATGTTATTGACCACGGTACCAAAAACCTTCCGGGAGTCCAATTAGGTGGGTGGTACTATCCAATTTTCCTTAAAACGATCAATTTATCAATTCGCAACTTGCACCGATTTTGTGAACTCAAGCCTATCATAGACATTTATGACATCACTTAATGGTCATATATGGTTTCAAACGGCATTATCTGACCCTAAGATGTATCCCTAGGGTCTCAACATTTTTCGCCACCGGCCCCAATAACCTCAAAATTTCTCAAAAAGCATGTATATTAGCCTTTAATTTTGGAATTTTTTGACTTTTTTTCGCCCGGAAATAAAAATTGCGGAGATGTTTACTATGGTCCCTAATATCCTCCGGGAGTCCAATAGAGTGGGTGGAACCATCCAATTTGCCTTAAAACAATCAACTTACCAATTCTTAACTCTCACTGATTTTGTGGACTCAAGCCTACCACGGACATTTAAGACATCATATAATGGTCATATATGGTTCAAAACGGCATTATATGACCCTAAGATATATCCCCTAGGGTCTTAACACTTTTCGCCACTGGCCCTAATAACCTCAAAATTCCTCAAAAGCGTGGATAATAGCCTTTAATTTCGGAATTTTTTGACTTTTTTCACCCGGAATAAAAAATTGCTGAGATGTTTACCAAGGTCCCTAATACCCTCCGGATCTCCAATTTGGTGGGTGGATCAATCCAATTTGCCTTAAATCGATCAATTTACCAATTCGCAACTTGCACCGATTTTATGAACTCAAGCAAACCTTGGACATTTATGACATCATTTAATGGTCATATATGGTTCCAAACGGCATTATACGACCCTAAGATGTATTCCCTAGAGTCTCAAAACTTTTCACCACCAGGCCCCATTGCCTCAAAAATTCCTCTAAAGGCGTGGATAATAGCCTTCAATTTTGGAATTTTTGACCTTTTTTTCGCCCGGAAATAAAAATTGCGGAGATGTTTACTATAGTCCCTAATATCCTCCGGGAGTCCAATTTAGTGGTTTAAACCATCCAATTTGCCTTAAAACGATCAATATACCAATTCGCAACTTTCACCGATTTTGTGAACTCAAGCCTATCATGGACATTTATGACATCATTTAATGGTCATATATGGTTCCAAACGACGTTATATGACCCTAAGATATATTCCCTAGAATCTCAACACTTTTCGCCACCAGGCCCCGTAACCTCAAAAATTTCTCAAAAAGCGTGGATAAATAGCCTTTAATTTTGGAATTTTTTGACTTTTTTTCGGCTGGATATAAAAATTTTCGAGATGTTTACTATGGTCCCTAACATCCTCCGGGAGTCCAATTGAGCGGGTGGAACCATCCAATTTGCCTTAAACGATCAATTTACCAATTCACAACTCTCACCGATTTTGTGAACTCAAGCCTACCACGGACATTTAAGACATCATATAATGGTCATATATGGTTTGAAACGACATTATATGACCCTAATATGTATTCCTTAGAGTGTCAACATTTTTCGCCACCGGGCTTCATAACCTCTAAAATTCCTCTAA